ACACCCTGACGATGATACATATGAGTCGAAACATTCGATATTTTTTCTGATAATTATTGCATCTGCACCTCCCATATATATATATATATATAGACAGACAGACAGATGCTTCGCCGTTTTCACAGCTCACCAGTGTGGCTAGACATCCGATTGCTTCAAGCCGGGATTGAAACCCGACTGATTCGGCAACAATAGGAGATTTTCCTCTTAGCAGTCGGTTGAAAATGCATTTGTGTGTATATGTACGAATGTTTATACATATAGATACATACATATTTTTTAATTTAATTTTTATTTAATTTAATTATTTTAATATATACATATATAATCTAAACGATTTTTAAGTCTTTGCGATAATTTTATACTGAGTTCAGTTAAATTTATTTCAAGGTCATCAATTATAAAATTTGAAGATGACTCCCTTACTAAAGAACTTGAAAGAAATTTAGTTAACTTCAACATAAAAATCTTCACACACACACAGTCATCCACAAACAGACTGTTTTGCTGTACACACAGCTCATCAGTGTGGCTAGACGTCCCCTCTAGCTAGGATTGAAACCCGACTGAGTTGGTGTCAGTTGGAGATTCTACACCTACACTGTTGGCTCACGGCAGGGATGAAAGTGAATTTAAGCACATTTATTTTTAGATAAACACACAGTGACTGAGAGAACTCGATTCGATTTACCGAAGAGACTTGCATTATTAGCCGTAACAGTCACTGATTACAAACTCACACTTCCTCCCCAGAGAGCTCATTTGAAATAATTTTTTCAGGATCATATATTGTCATCGACGGACAGACTGTATCTGTTTTTTTCTCGTTCAGATCGATTGTATCAGTTACAAAATGCGTATTTTATTATTTCCTTATTGCTTTTCCATACAAGCTAAATTTAAAATTAGCATTTTTTTTTTAAAACTTACAACTGCCAATCTTTAAATTGAAGTCTGTTTCGTGTTTAAACACAATCTTACATACGCTCTACGCGTTATGTTGTGCACTTTTAACCCTTAAATACGGCATACCATAAAACTATATTTTATCATATAGAACTGTTCATATGAACAGTTCTATATCGTTATGCATGTGATCATACATATATGCAAACACACATGTGTAGGATCTAGTAAAAATATATTCAGCATCCATATGCATATCTCTATCTATAAAAGGCAGGATGTGTGTGTGTGTGTGTGTGTAACCAATGCACGGCCGCAATTTTCGACGTATTTGCACCAAAATTTACATGCACATGTTCATGTTAGCGGGAAGGCCAAGATCGACTTTGCATTTCGCAACTCCCATCGATAGTGAAAATAATCGAATTTTTTCATGCTTCTACGTCAGTTTTCATGTAGTTTGCGGCCATTTTGTACTGGCCAGAGTGAGAGCCAATAACTGGCTGCCACAAATAGGCAGGAAGATTCTATTGCCCAGCGTGAGAGCCAACAGCTGACTGACACGAATGTTAACTAGCATGCTGGCATGCAAAAAAAATTGATAGCGGCATTCGTCATAATTGGGAAAAATTTAAATCTGCATGGCACTTTACTCCAATTGGCTCATTCGCTTGCTTAAACTCAAAGTTGATTCTGAATCCGCAGAACTGGGTTAGGTGTAAAAAAGTATTTGTTGTTAACATTCTTTTTTCATTCGGTTTTTCCAGTTACGAGTCCTTTTTTAAAGCTGATCGTTTTGTGCTCATTTTGTTTAGTTCTTTTTTCGTAACAGATTTAATGTTCAGTATAGAGCTTAGAAAAAAAATTTGCAGTGTGAGATAGGCAAGAAGTAAGCATCAGCAACATCAGCACGGCAAAGGCACTCCTTTAAAAGGCAAGGAAGGGCAAAAAATATTTTAAGTCAAGTGCTGTATGAGTCGTACAATTTTTGAATCAAGCACGGGCAACGCCGGGTCATGGTGCTAGTATATATATATATATATATATATATATATATATATATATATATATATATATATATATATGGTGAACCAAAAGTAGGTTGTCAATTTAATGATAACATTTATCTTGAGATTGTGGTTAAATCGTTTGACAACATGTTGCTTTCTCCTATCTGCAAAATGTTTTGGGTCAACCAGTTTTGGGGATATTAAGAATTGAGCCATTGGCATTAAATGTGTCACGAATGCGGTAAATTCTTTGAATCTTTGGGGCTTAAGTGCCAAATGCTTCCAATCCATTTTTTTCTAGGTGTTTTAACATTTGGAGACTTCCAATACACTTTTAACAGCCATTTCCTTGCATCGGTATTTAAATTATTTGCCATTATGGGTTTCCAAAACTATCTGAAAAGAAAAAAAGATAAAATGTAAATAAATTTAGTTATAAAATTTGATATAACACAATCACCACAGTTATAATATAACCCTAACGAAAACTCTATTCAATCTACTGCCCACCTATACCTACTTTTGAAATATATATATATATATATATATATATATATATATATATATATATATATATATATGGT